CAGGATCAGAGACACAGTAGACCAAATATCGATGTCAAGATTACTTCTACTAGGTTGGCACAATGCCTTAGCTGGTACAGGGATTGCTGTGCAAGAGGAAAGGCCTGACTTTGACTATCCAGCATGGAAATAAAGGCAGATAGTGCAGCACTTTGCTGTTATCCCTGCCCTCCTATGGCAAGGTGGGAAGTGGGGACAGGAGAATATCTGGGAGTTCCTCAACCAGGATGCAAACAAGGTGGAAAGTGAGGACCAACATGGGGTTGTTCTCTGAACTCTGCACACACACACACACACACACACACACACACACACACACACACACACACACTTTTTCACTTATTTTAAAGATGAGAACCTACTGTGTTTTGAGTGGAAGGGCTTTGTAAACTTTGTCAGTAACTTTTTAATAATGCTATTGATTACTACAAATTAAAATAACTTTGGGGAATTAAGTGGCAGAAGGCTTATACAGACAGATTTTACAACCTTATAGTTGGTCATGGGTATAAGAGAGGTGGAAATACTTGCTTAGAGTTCACAGGGATGGCAGGGGCACTATGCAAGCTAGAAACAGCCTGCAGCCTCGATTCTTTCATTCAAGTTAAGAATCAAGTTTGTGGCTGCTCACCATGAAACAAAAACAAATCAAAATGGAAAACAGACTTAGAGTTTGCGAAGCCGAAGAACCGGACTCTTCTCCCTGTGGTCTCCAACTGTATAATCCTATACAGAACCATTAATCTTCTCGATTTAGTTTTCTTGTTTGAGAATAGTGATTACTAAGACATACTGAGCACTGCCTTTGGGCTGCTTATCATGCTCAGGGGTTTGCCCGTATTGTGCTGAATTTTCATCCCAACCTCATGAATAAGATGTTGTTTCATAGATAAGGACACTCACAGTAACTGATGCGCCTCCCTGTAGTAAGCGATAGGTAGACATGAATTCAAAGAGACTATTCGTCCCCAGAAGCTACATTCTTAACTCTTTTTGAGGCTTAGATGAAAGAAAACTAGAGTGTAATAATCAATCAACTTTAAGGTGCTTCTGTGCCACCAAATATTTAATTGATGTTAATGTCATTAATTATGCAAAAGCCATATAATACGGTGTTGTGTATATAGGGTGTTAGATTATCAAAACATTACCCTTTTGAGACTATGTTTTTAGTAAAAAAAAATTACTACATTTAAATTTTTTTACTTTCTGAGGGAGGGTGATTGCATGTGCCACAGTATACCTCTGCAAGTCAGGTCATGAGTCTTGGTGGTGGACATCTCTACCTGCTGAGCCATGTTCCCAACCCTTGGTCACTCTGCTCTTTTCTTCACATATCGTTAAGTTACTGCAGACAAGTCTCTGCTCAGAGAGAGAGAGACAACATTTTGTAGCACAGCTTGAGCTCACCCTACACTCACGTTCGACCAAGTGATGGATTTTCATATAGTTAATAGCAGAAGGGGTATGATGATGGGCTCCAGTCCCTTACTTTCTTCGGACTGTATGAACAAGATTCCTGGGACCTCGAGACATGTGCAATTACAGACAAAAAAGAACTCTGGGTTCTTGGTCCCTGGTGAGACTGTAATAGGAAGAAAGACTACTAATGAGGAATGTGTCTGACTGTGGCCAGGAAAAAGCAAGCTGCCATTGTGTTAAGTTACTGAAGAAAGGAGAAGGGAATATCAGGAGTAACAACTAGCCTTCCCCTAGTTATCGTTGATACTATGATCTTTGTTTATAAATGAGGAAAATGGAGCAGAGACAGGCTAACCAACCATTCCAAGTTCAATACCAGTTTTAAAAATGATATTATTCTTAGAAGGTCAAGGAGCGAGCCCTAAGGATTAACCGATTTAGCAGGTGGTGCACTAGTTCCCATGAGGTAGGAAACATAGACTGGTCTGGAAATTTACATATTTGAAGCTGAAGAAGACAGCAACGGTAATAGGTGGTTCCAACTAACAGAGACTGAAGGGAAGTTGTATACAGTCTTTGGAAATTAAGCATTTCTTTTGCTGTTGCTCCACACTGCTGAGATAAGTAGCTAAGTGGCAGATTAGAAAGATGAGGAGAAGGAGGGAGAGGGAGAGGTAAATATGAGAACTTGGCCTCTCTCAAAACTGCTAGTCTAGGCGTTTATACCAAACAACTTAAACGGGTGGCATTTTGGGACCCTGGAGGGTGCCTGGCTATGCTACCCGAGGTTCCCCAAAGCAGTAAGATTGGTGCCTAAAGCATTCCGCTGTGGTGAGCAGAACTTCCCTCCCACTCTAAATGCAAGTGACTGCAGGAAACAGCAGGTAAAAAAAAAGGTGACAGCAGCAACTAAGTCACTGACGCCTTCTATACTTCTGAACAACTAACTCTGCTGTTCCAGGGTGAGCTGCAGGGGGCACAGCTTCTGAAGTCAACAGCCCATCACTAATAAACACAGAGCAAAAATGCCAAAAACGACAACAGAAATACCATGGCTGAGTGCATTGAAGGTTTTCTAGAGAGAGAAGACTGAAATTACTTTCAGTGTCTCTTCAGGAAGCTAAAGCCACTAGATTAAGTAACCTTAGACCGTTATATAATCATCTAGAGGCTGACATCTCTCTTTTGCTCTAGATACTGAAATGGACAAAAGAAAATTTATAGCAGTATGAATAAGAAGGAGAAATGAAGACAACAAGTTCAAGGGATGTTAGAAGATGTGCTTAATCCTTAGTTGTGTATTTAAATCTACATAGATAGAAACGGATGGGTGAAATGGGAACAAGATCTTGTCTCTTTTGTGGTCAAATATTATACCAAACTATGAGGGATGACTGACCGTCACTCATGTACTAGGTCACATAGGTGTTTGAAGAACTACTAATTTCATCTTGGTTGCTGGTTATGAGAGTTTCAAGCGTTATCTTTTTTTGTTTGTTTGGTTGGTTGGTTGGTTTTTCGAGACAGGGTTTCTCTGTGTAGCTTTGCGCCTTTCTGGGAGCTCATTTTGTAGAGCAGGCTGGCCTCGAACTCACAGAGATCCACCTGCCTCTGCCTCCAGAATGCTGGGATTAAAGGCGTGCGCCACCACCGCCCAGCCTCAAGCGTTATCTTAAGAGATATTTAAAGAACCCAAGTGGTTAGTTCCTGGTCATTAAGATTCGTGCACGGGGGCTGGAGAGATGGCTCACAGGTTAAGAGCACCGACCGCTCTTCCAGAGGTCCTGAGTTCAATTCCCAGCACCCACATGGTGGCTCACAACCATCTGTAATGAGATCTGGCATCCTCTTCTGTATACATAATAAATAAATTAAAAAAAAAAAGATTCGTGCACGGATATTGTAGAAAATCCAGGAGATAAAGGAAAGAAGTGAATAAACAATGGTGAAGAAACAGCATAATCTTTTCCACAAGATTGTAGGTTGAAAAGAAAGCTGACCAATTGGCGGGGGCGGTGGGGTGGTGCTGAAGAGATGGATCAACAGTTAAGAGAACTGGCTGTTCTTCCAGAGAACTCAGGCTTGATTCTTAGCACTCAGAACGGTGACTCACAACTGTCTGTAACTCCAGTCCCAGAGGATCCAATGCCCTTTTAAAATCTCACCAGGTACCAAGCACACACATGGTACATAAATATACACTCAGGAAAGACAGTTGTACACAGTAATTAAAAAAAAATCTTAAAATTAAAAAAAGAAAGCTAGTAGGCAATTTTTAGATAGTTAAGAAAATAGCTTTAGAATTTCTGGGAGGTGCATGAATTACTCATAGTCTACCATTTATGTGCATCTCAAATCTCTGGTATTACAGCTACTTGTTTTCCCCTTTAAAAATACAATAACTAAAAAAATATTTTTACTTAAAATGGGCAGGAAGCTATCTCCTTTTTAGTCAATAATTAGTCATATTCTTGTAACCTTGCTCCGCCCTCACCAGTACATATATGTGGATAATAAATAAGATGTCTCTATCACAGATCAGTTCCCAGCAGCAACAAAGACAAAGTAAAATTCAGGACATAGTACAGGCCAGCTATCCTTTACCCACAATGCTCAGGCCCACAGTGTTTTGTATTTCAGAAGTTCCTTTTCAGATTTTAAAATACTTGCACAAAACTACTACTTGAATATCTCCAACATGAAATTCTAAACACAAAATAATTCAAATGCCAAACTTTTAAGTATCATGTTAGAATTCAAAAAGTCTGGAATTTGGGTCACTTTGGAGTTCAGACTTATGGTTGGCAATGACCAACCTCTAAGAATAACTTTGATTAAATTTAAGTGTTTGCTGCCAAAGGTCTTATTGTTGTGGTTGTTGTTGCTGCTTCTGTTGGGGCAGGGAGCAAAGATAACTGTTATGAAACTGGGCTTACTGATGGGTACCTATAATTCTATTGCTCAGGAGGTTGAGGCAGGAAGATTGATGTGAGTTTTGGACTAATCTTTCCAATACAGTGAGACCTTGTCTTAAAATACCAAGCCAAACCAAAACCAAAACCAACAAATCAAACAAAAGCAGACAACTATTGATAACAGAATTAACAAAGCTATTTTTTTTTTCAAGACAAACGTTGAGAATACGGTCAAAATATTTTCCTCTCAGGTTTTTTTTGTTTGTTTGTTTGTTGTGAAGGCCTACAAAGGTTTCCCAGTGAGATCTGAGCTTGCTTTATCCAGCAGAGCTGCATAAGATGATTGCTTGACCACCTGCATGCATGGTTACCAGGTGTTGGGAAGAGTCTGCACTTGGATGTGCAGTATGCTTTGATTTAGCAAAGGAGGTCTTCTGCTCTGCCCCCTGGCATTCCTTTAAAAAACCCTTTAGAAGAGACAGAAGAACTTTGCCCTTTCTATTAAGGCAAAGTTAATCATTGTCAAAATTAATTAGGAAGTTTTCCTATTACTGTTAATGATCACCCTTAACAAAACTGAAGTAAGGCAGTAAAATTAACCAAGGCTTGGGGTACCACTGAGACCAGTGTTTCATTATTTCTCCGAGAACATGAAAGTCATACCTTCGACTAAGGAAGTGAGGAGGGTGACATTGGCTGCTTTCCGTCTTCCAGCTGGCAGGTTTAGGCCAAGCCTATCCAGTTTCTCTCTTAGGCAGCGGCCACCATTCTTGGATTTTGCTCTGTGCAGAAGCAATTGACAATTAAGTTTGGCTAGTAACACTTGGAAGAAATTATGAGACAACTTGATCTCATGGGGATGATGCCACAGTGGATGGAGGATAAAAATACAGAAGGCTCGAAGAATGAGAGTGGTATTAGTTCAGTTACCCGAAACAAGGTGTTTAAACAGCTTCATCTTACCTCCTCAGAATGCCTCCCAGGAGCGAAGCATTGAGGCACTCAGGTGGCGAGAGACGCCTCTTTACCTCAGCAATGGTCACCTTGTATTTGGAAGTAGAACTGAGAAGGGACAGACGACCAGGAACTGAGCAAAACAAGTCTGTCGGGTTGACCACACAGGTGCCACCTTGGAAGTGAAAAATGTACAAGTTAGTAATAGTGAAAGAATAGAGCTCTGTGAGAGGCAGGTGGTATCGAGAGAGGCATGGCAACAGCTGTGTCTCCCTTCCATTTACATCATGTCAGGCTACTCAAAAGATAGACTTCCAAGAACTAATTAGGATTTTGCATATCACATAGAAAATGAATCTGTGTGTACCATTGTAATCCTAGGCAAAATTAGCACCTTCTACAACATAGGCTGCCTCTACGGTGTTCATTTTGACATTATTGCGTCAAGAAACACAGCAGTACGTTAATGCCCCCACATCCAACAGTTAACCTCAGAAAAGCAGTTGTTATTGGTTCACAGTTACATGTGACTGTGCACACGTACAGAATGGATGGAAACTTTTGATGCATGCTTTTCTTTTCTAGAAGGTTCGCAAAGTTACCGTCTTCCTTCCCTCATCCATCCACCAGCTAAAGGCACCAATCCCCATAGACACTAAAAATCACCTGCCCATCGCCAGAAATCTCTATGCTGGTGACAATACAGTCAAATCTTCAGTCTGTACTGTCAGCACATGTAAGCACACACGGTGTAAGACCCAGTGTTAGCTAGTTACCTGCATTCAATATGACTGCTATTATCATTATGATGGTTGCTTCACCATTACCGTTAGGGTGCAGGGCAATGGTAACCATTCAGAACATCACCAAACAATTTCACCATGATGGAGTTCCTTGGTGATGGGGTATCTTCAAGTTCTACAGAGCCTCTTGAGCCGCATACTCCTGCAGAAGCAGCCTACTCAATTCTCTCACCTCAGACAGCTCTCTCTGACTAAAATCGACTTGGATACTCAAGTGTGAGCATCACTGGTCATAGTTTCTTGATGCTCAATTGCTAACTTGCTTCAAATACCTCAGACAAAGCCCACCCTGCTAAAATGATAGGCATATGAAGCTGGGATATAAGGCTACCTTTATATGCCCCAAGACCATTGCCAAATTTGAGTTCAAAACTCTGTTTTCTTTCTCTTTCTTTCTTTCTTTCTTTCTTTCTTTCTTTCTTTCTTTCTTTCTTTCTTTCTTTTTCTTTCTTTCTTCTTTCTTTCTTTCTTTCCTTCCTTCCCTTCTTTCTTTCTTTCCTTCTTTTTTGTTATTTCATACAAAGTGTGTGTGGGGGGGTGGGCAGGCTAGGATGTCAGATGCTCTGGAACTGGAGTCACAGGTAGTAATGGGCTGCCTGATGTGGGTGCTGGGAAATGAACCCACGTCCTCTGCAAGAGCAACAAGTGCTCTTGACAGTTGAGTGACCCCTCTCTTTTGTCCTTCACAGCTGTTTTTGTTTTTGTTTTTTTCTGAGCATTCATTTTCTTGCTTTAGTTGTAGGTAAGCTTAAGTCACTTTTCCAGAGAAGGGAATTATGAGGGAAAGGAAGGGAGGGAAAGAGATTAGAAAAAGAAAAATGCAGAAGATTGTTGCCCCCAATCCACTTACTAAGAGGGTGATCCGCTTTGGCTTTCTAGGGAGAAGCTAGTCGGGAGTGGGGCATCTTAGACCCCATTTGGTCCTCATTCAGAATCTATGTTTTCAAGGAAGTCACATGCTGCTCATACTCATTAAAGTTTGAGAAGTACTGGACTAGAATTTATCACTTGTCCCCAAGTAGCCCTATCATCGGAAGAGTTACAGCAAGGAACCTCTGTTCTTTAGACTCAGGGGTGTTCCCTGGGCATGTCACCTAAAAAACCTGGGAGGACATGAACCTATGTAAAATAATCCCTACCTGGAAGTAAGAATATTAAAATTATTTCCAACCCTATGATGCTTGGAATTTTTCTAGCTGTTTTACAATTACCCCTATTTCTCTTTAAAATAAATTTATTTGTTTGTTGTTTGTTTTGTTCCCTGTGTAGCCCTGACTGTCTTGGACTTACTCTCTAGGCCAGGCCAGCCTTGAACTCAGAGATCTGCCTACCTCTGCCTCTCAAGTGCTGAGAGTGAAGGCGTGTGCTACCACTGGCCAGCATGTATTTTTTTTTTCTTTGACAGTTTCATACATGTTCATAATGAATTTCAGTCATTTTTATCCCCATTATCTTCTGTCATCCTCCTTCTCTCTGAAACCCTCTTCCCAGCAAGTCTTCCTCCTGTTTTTATCTTCTCTCTCTGTCTCTCTGTCTCTCTGTCTCTCTCTTTCTCTCTCTCTCTCTCTCTCTCTCTCTCTCTCTCTCTCTCTCTCTGACCCTTTGAACTTAATATTTAATTATGGTTGCTTACATAAGCATGGGTGGGGTTTATTTACTGGAGCATGGGCAAGGGATGGCCTCACCCATCTCTAGAGAAACTATTTCCATCTAATGGTTGCTGAGGGACACAGTATCATTCCTTCAGTAGTGTACCCACTGAGAAGTTGCCTATGTTCCAGTAAGTAACCTCCTTCCCAAGTTAGCTTTAAAATGGCTAATGATCGAGGTCTTTCTCCCTTAATAATTCTGAGCTAGTTTATATGGCCCAGTGTTTCCACCATACAAAAGGGAGGGAGGAGAGAATGTTAAGGCATCATGGAAAAATCTGTTGTGTATTTCAAAAAATTCCTCATGCCATTTTCTGGAAACAAGACCAAGGTTTTAAAGTCTGAGAGGTCAGTAGGTCTGTCAACTGTTAAACTAAAATCCTTTTCTTGGAGTCAAATGTGCAAAAACTGTAAACTATCTTCTTCAGCAGCTGGAAACACACAAATTTGCAAATTCTTCCCCACTTTGAATTTCTACAGAATTTCAAAAGTAATAATAATAGCAACAACGTTAGGAAAATTTCACAGATTCTTAGGGCCGTGGCTATCCCCTCACTCACTTTCATTTATTCTTACACCGTGTACCTATAGGTACAGAGTGCACTTAAATAAAGGAAATTGACTTCTCAAAAGTTGAAATGAACTGAAAGTCAAGATAGTTTCAGTGAATCTAGATTTTATGGTCAGACAGTCAGAGTCATGACCCGATTGCTTGGGGATTTCGGTCAGTGTGAGGAAAATATCAAAAATCAATAAAAAAAATGTGTGTATACAATATCCATCCACTCTTCTCCTGAAAGGAGGTCTTTACCTGCAGTCACTATGAACCAGAAGCAGACATATATCTTAACATTTAACATCTCTCCTTGTATACCAGTCAGTATTTTACTAAAGAAAAAGAATTAGTTTTAAGTGTCTGAGCATTTTACGTGAGTTTTTTTTGTCCCTTTCTTCTGTCTGCTAGGAACTTTAGACTTCTCCTGTCCTTAGTAATCTGTGGGTTAGAAACTCAATTTAGCAAGAAAATGTTGGTCACAATCTTTGAAAAAGGAGTTAAGTCTAGTTTTCCTACATTCAAAAATCTGTCACTTTTTGGCTTAGTTGAAAGTAGGCTGCTCTCTGGGCATCCTCTGGGTAGGCTACCTAGCCATCTGTGAACTCTGGAGGCCCTGAGCCTTTCTGCTTCTCCATCTATGTTGGCTTCTGGCTTATGCTAAAGTAGGCATGTGTTAGGTAAGTTACACAGGCTGCATATTAAGAATATGCTTTATGCACACACAAATTGCCTCAAGGATTTATTTTGTATTCAGGATTATCCATCAACTCTAGACTCTTTTATTTTTTATGTCACGGAATCTTTAAAGGGAATTTCTGTTGCTTTGATACGTGGCATCGTTGCAGCCTTGGGGGAACTCTCTTATTCTGGCTAAAGATTGGGCAACTTGTAGAGTTTACATCAACTTGGGGAACCTGATAGCTTGCTTCCCAGTGGGTTATTTTTCAGGAGGGCAGAGAGAAAAAAAAAAAAACAAAAAACAAAACAAAGACATGATAGCCAGGGTTTTGCATTTGTAATGAAGGTAGTGACATGGTAGAACCTAGGTAAGGGAATGGAGACTATCAACAGTAATGATGAAAACCCAGAAGACAATCAGAATCGGACCTCACCAAGCTATTAACAGTAGTCATTCTGTGTTCCCCACTCAAGGTCCTCATGGTGCCTCTGAGGTCCCCTCAGCCCTTGCAGATGTTGGGTGGTTCTCATTTCCTGCTCAGCATGCCAGTTGGGGATGCCAGAGTCAAATAGGTTATGCAGAACTTCTCGGGTGTTCGCCCCTCCTCCATTCATGGTACACAGAGAAGCAATATTTCTACAGAGGTCAGTGCTTGCAAATTTTGCAAAGAATCTATACATTCTAATGTGTAGCTATGTAAGAAGTTAAGAATTGTCTACTCCAGATCACTTGTCTAGGACATGCCTTAAAAAAAAAGTCCTAATTCTGCCAAAATAACAGGAAGAAGTTAGCCAAATTCTGTAGTTATCACTATACCTGGCACAGAATAACACAAGTTTAGACTGCCCTTCATACCCTGATAGATCCTGAAGGACCTGAAGAGGGAGCTGCACTTCTCTTGGTTAGCCTGGGGAATCTGTCCTTCTGCCTTCAGACCATGAGTGGTGGGAAAAAAAAAAAAAAAACCACTGGTGATGAGTCGGAACTTGCACATTAACTAGCTTGGAGAACAATTCTTTCTTAATCAATCTACTTGAAAACTGAAGGTGTTCATACCTATTCTACTTCCCCCTGAAGGAAGCTGAGGACATGTTCCAGGAAGTGGACAGATGCATACTCAGCAGCCTGAGTAATGAATGGTACCCAACACTAACTGTGCTGAGAGGCTACCACATCACAGGATAAGCTCTGTGAAGCTGGATACTCATTTACCCATTGTTTGCACTTCAACCTAATGGGAAGCCAAGCGCTAAAAGTCTCCTCTCACTCCAGAGCAAACAGGAGTGGTGGTCTCCAAGGAGCAGCATCTGAGCAACAGTGCTGAGTCTCCGTGCCCCACCCACCCCTAAGAACACACCCAGTTGTGCCAAGAGGCCCCCTGGCGCCTCTGCAGGTGCGATCCATACTTCCTAGCCTGCTTCAGCTCAATAGGCCCCAGCGCACAGCCCAACAAACCGCCCCACCTCAGCACCGCCCCACTCTCCCGAA